ACTACACATTCAAGACTTTCAGGCACATTACGTATTCGCTGAATGTTTGTTAAAGAAATGAATCAATACATAAATACAGAACACACCTAGATGTTCCCACCCCTCCGCGTAAGGAGTGGGAAAGTCTTTGTTCAGATTTTGTATCCTGAAAAATTTTTTCTGATTAATTCTGCATCCAATAAAATTCTGCTATTTTACTGAATTGGAGTAACTAAAGGGCTTTAAGGCAAGGGGTTCTGTTTTCAGTTTTGTATCAGTCTACATGAAGGACCAAGCCTTGGCGAGGAGCAGTACTACCCAGTGGTGAAGACCATGAGTTTTCCATCAATCTGCCTGCATACAAATCCCAGGCCTCCTACTGACTGGTATGTGAGCACCGGCCAAGTTGCCACACACATTTAATGTCTGTTTCCTTCTCTGTAAAATGGGGATGATAATAATAGTTACGCAGCCCATAGGGTTGTCATGACAGTAGGACAGTAGGTGACGTTAACACAATTACAGAGCTTAGCACATTGTCGGGCACATGATAAGTCCTCGCCACATGTCAGCAGTCTTCACTGTTACCATGCAGGAATTAAGAAGCACTGAAGATTTTTACTAGCACTTGCATTCATTTCCGGTGTCCACCTTTAGAACGTACCACAGATTGAGTGGCTTAAGGCAACAAAAATGTATTCTCTTACAGTTTTGGGGTGGATGTTGAAAACTAAAGTGTTATCAGGGCTACACTTCTTCTGAAAGCCCTAGAGGAGGGTCCCGCTTGGCCTTTTCCAAGTTCTGGTGGCCCAAGCATTCCTTGGCTTATGGTGGCACCACTTCAGTCTCTGTCTCCAGCTTCATGCAGCCTTCTCCTGGTGTGTGACTGTGTCTATCTGCGTCCTGGCCTTGTCTTGGAAGGACACTGTCATTGGATTTAGGGGCCATTCTAATCCAGTATGACCTCGCCTTAATTACATCTGCAAAGACTATGTTTCTAAACAAGATCACATTCTAAGGTTCTGGGTGGACATGAATTTGGGGGAGGCGGATACTTATTTAACCATGTTGGCATTTAATTACAAAAATCAAACACACAAACTGTTGTAGCCACCAGAGGTCTTAATTTTGCCTCTTGCTTAAAAACAGAGAGAAGTTACAGAGAGAGTTTGCTTCTGATTATGTTGCTTATTTCTGCTTAGAAATAAAAATGAGGTGGATAGTTGTAACATTTTCCAGTGTTTTGGGGTTTGTCCAGCTAAGAAGAAATGGGTCCCCAGTGTAGGTCCCCAGTGTAGGTCTCCACTAATCCTGGGAATGACACACCAGACCCATGGCTGAGCCTTCCATGTAGACCAGGGTGGTGCTGTGTTTCTAGAGGCTTCCACAGCCTCAGCCAATGGACTGCCAGGGAATTCTGCTGTGTGATGGAGCTGTATCAGTTGAGTTAATCACTACTGGGTGGTGGACTCTGTGAGAAGATGGGCCACCGTGGGCTTCTCTGGACAGAGGACATGACTGGATCTATGGTCTGGCCATAGGTTTCCCAGCTGCCCCTTGTGTTCCTTGCAAAACATGAACTCCCCCAACCAGCATGCCTATCAATGTGCAGGGAGCCCTGGGAGAGCTAATGCCTGAGCTGGTGATCAAACTTCTATAGATTCATTTAAAGAAAGTCTACGGCAGCTTCCTCGATGAGAGGCTAGAGGAAGGCAGAAAGATGTTTCTCGCACATGTAGATTTGCTGGCAGGGGATGGTGAGTAAAAGTGCATCCTCTATGAAGCAAAAGAGACTCATCAGGTGGAAACTGCTTGAGTCCAACCCTGTCCTCCTGAGCTTAATGAAGTGGCAGCACATGGTAATTTGATTTACAAATGCAACCATATATTCATTCGAGAGAGAGAAATAGGGAAAGTAGATAAGGAGTGTGGATGGATAGAGACAGAGATGGATGTTGTGACAGAGTGTGCTCCTAGGACGTGGGGGAGACAGATGGAGATGGAGGTGGTGGGGACAGAGAGACAAAGGGGAGAGGGAAAGAGAGAAACAGAGAATTTAAATAGTGTGAGCCATTTGCCATCACCCCTCTGACCACCTAATATCTGGGGAGACCCTGGGTTGATCTGCCACCTTGGGCTACCCCTGGTCCTTGCCTGTCCTAGTGTGCATCTTGCATGTGGCTGACTGCGACGTAAACATCTCAAGGTTTTTATTTTCATACAACTTGGCCCCAACGAGGCAATCCCTCCTCTAGTGCCCACAGGAAGGATGAAAAATTAGGCTCTGTTAAATGCAGAGAGATGGATTTTTCGAGGCTAATTTAATTTTATGCAATTTTCACCCGAGATGCCACTCCATTCCAGATAGTACAGTCAGGTGGCATACGATCTCTGGTTCATAACTATGTGTTTTCTAAGCAGAAACAGTTGATCCTTGAATGCCAGGGTTAAGAACTCTGCCTCTTAGGACTGTTCTTCCCCAAAAGAGGAACAAATGAGGAAGTTAGAGGTAATGCGTAATTGTATAAAGAGAAGAAAATATGCAAAAGAGAAATGAAAGTAAATACTGGGGTTTTAAACTTCCCCTAAAAATAATGGCAGTCAATAGTTAGTTGCATTTTTCTCATGGTTTGCTGACCTCATATGTGTATGCATGTGTGCGCGCGTGTGTCTGATTTTGTGTGAACATGTAATCAGGGTGCTCATGGTATAGCAGGACCTGTTTATTCACTTAGTTAAATGCCGTGAACACTTTCCACATCCACATGCACAGACCTGGACTATCAAAGGACAACCCATGAAGGATTTTCATGAACTTCTTTGGCAGATGACTGTGGCCACTCTTTTTAGAAGTTGGATTTTTGGGCTGCAGCCCCACTAGGAGGCTATTGTCACAGGAGCTCCTGTGAAGTTCAAGTCTCCCTGGGAGAGGAAACCCAAAACAGAGGGGGCACCTGGCTGGAGGCCTCCCAGGGCAGACCCCTGGCCCACGAAAGAGCTTGCAGATGAAGCTTTCCTAGATAGCTTCAGGATTCCTTTCTTTTTTTTTTTTATTTATTTATGATAGTCATACAGAGAGAGAGAGAGGCAGAGACATAGACAGAGGGAGAAGCAGGCTCCATGCACCGGGAGCCTGACGTGGGATTCAATCCCGGGTCTCCAGGATCGCGCCCTGGGCCAAAGGCAGGCGCCAAACCGCTGCGCCACCCAGGGATCCCAAGCTTCAGGATTCCTTTCAACCAGAACTACCATCATTCTCCCCAAGTCAAGAGGCGACTTGTGTTGACTCCAAAGGATGCCCATTGAATACTTTCCAAATATGTACTGCAGTTTTTAATTTTAGTTTTGGTAAAGCCACGGGTTGAGTCAAATGTAAACGCGTCACTGGAAACAGATATTAAGAGAATATTTAGGTGACTTTTGAAATAACGTCAAGGGAAACACACAAGCTTCATTTAACTCTATCTCTCACATTGGCTAGGCTGAAGCGTGTGTACCCCTGCCTTTCTATTTGTGGAATATTGCCTACTAACATGCAAAAGTTTTGTACGAGCCAGTATGGTTAACTTAACTCTCCAAAAATCAGAGGATCATGATTTTCTTTAGATTAGTACTTACGTAGTGGAATCTCTCAGGCATTAGGACTTACTCGATCGGGTTCAGACATCACTTTGGCGATGGGATGACTGCATTAAATTAGCATCAAGTACAATGAGTGGTAATTGCAGGGCTGTCATTTCTACAAGTGCAAAATTAATGTGTCCTGCAAACCCATCCCATTGTGTGCCACAGGAAAATCATGGAACCACGTTGTTCCGAGCAGAAAAATGCCCTGTAACAGCACTGTTAATGTGGTACGGTATTATTCAGCAATGGTATTCCTTTCCACCTCTGTTGTTGTCTCGTGCTCATTCTTCAAAATCTGCCTGACCTCATTTGTATGCTCATATTGCAGCACCACCAGACAGTAGCCTGGATGTACAGAGAATGCTACGGAACAATTCCTCCTTCTGTGTGGCATCTTGTGTGAATAATGCCAGCATAAACCACCCTCCATGTATTCACGAGGGTATGAATAGGCTACTTATGTAAAGCTTGTTATTAAGAGATACACCAACCATTTACAGGAATCTTTACCCAAATACTATACATTCATTTGGAAGGAGAAGAGTGATTTATGTGCATTTGGGTGGTAGCTTAGGGAAGGTACCGCTCGGCCACGCTCCATCCCTCTTGTTTACATGTGGGAAATGAAGCCACACACCAGTTGAGTGCATTTCTTCAAGTCATGCGGGATCACAAGGTGTATTTTGAAAGACAACATGCATATGCATTGGGCTCCCGTAGCCTGCTGATTGGCTTCGCAGAATTTATTAGGGATTAAAGGACCCATTCGAGCCTGAAATAATGCACTAATAACAGGTGCTCTAAGCCGACTGATGTGTTATCTCACTCTTCCTGCAGTTTGGCTGAGGCTGAGAACCACTCACAGAGGCATCCTGCGTAAGGATAATAATAATAATAATGATAGTGACAACAACTGGCTGGACAGGTTTCCTTGTGAGTCTGGCTGGAACCACATCTCTCAGCAGCCAGGGGCTGGCGGGGGATGGGGGGGCATCCAGACTGCGGGCTGCCCTGACTCATCATCCACTGCAGGAACCCATCGGTCAACCTGCGAGCCCCTGACCTGCCCCTGACCTCGCTGAGCTCTGCCATGGACCATGAGGGTGTGATGCAGCTATGTTCTTTGGAAGGTTCTAGCAGCGCACAGTCATCTGGCATTTGAGTGAGACTCCACACACACACATGTGGAGCATCTCTCATCTTAAGTGAATGACAGAGATCAGGGGATGATTTAGGAGACTTCCTCCATAAGGTGGGAGAAGAATCCCGAATACCCTACTCTCAGAATAGAGTGCAGCGTGCACAACAACAACAACAACAACAAAAATCCCGATGTGGATGACTGAGGCTTCAAAGGAGGTACAAGAACACCATAGAAATGGGCTCTTTCTTACCCTTGTTGCAAAACGTGCCGTCGTAGGCCGTGTGGGAGCAGTCACAGGAGTAGCCGTGGTACTTCTCTAGACACCTGCCGCCGTTCTCACAGTTGGCGCCGTAGCTGGTGCAGTGGCCCGAGCACCCGGACTTGAAGCCGGATGTGACCTTGGCTCTTTCCTCCAGGTCCAGTGTCACCCCGTTCATCCGCAGGGAGCGGATGCAGCCCAGGAAGCCCTGCTGGCCCCCAGCACCACCTGCAAATGACAGAAGGCACGGAACTCAGACGGAGGGACCTCTGCTGTAGCCCCTGTGCTCATCCATCACCCCCCAGACCGCTGGTGGCAGGTGAGGGGGCCACTAAGGGCAGTCAGCCCTGTCGCTTTGGAGGTGGCCCTGCCTGATAGAGAAGCTCCAAGCTTTCTCCCCTTTGGCCATAATGTCTAACTAAGGGAGGCTGTCTTGGGAGAAGCCATACGTTTGCTACAGAAATAAAATGTTTGGAGATCCACAAAAATTATATATACTGTTTTGGAAGTCTAATCTGGCTTCCTAAAGAAGTTTATAGAAGTCTCTAGGGTTTTTTTGTTTGTTTGTATGTTTGTTCTTTAATCCCATGGCATTCACTTCCATAGCATTATCTATGGAAAGAAATATAAAAAAGGCAGAGAAATATGAATATATTAGCATAGTTAACAAGTTAATTAGTTGGAAGGCATAAACCCATTTGAAATGTGACTGCATGTCCTGATTCTTGTCTTAGGAAATACCTCACTTTGAAGTTCATAGGAAAGGTTCCCAGGCTTCTTGTCCAGGGTGGTCAGAAGTCGGAATTGATAATTTTACACAAGAGTCAGCCACACCACATTGATTACCAGGTCAGGTTAGATGTCATTGCTTTTTGTCTAAATGCCATGGCAAGACATACAGGACAAAGAGCAAGTTCACTGTGATTTTTGAAGTTACAGAGTTAGGCAGAGGTTCATGAACATGAAGATTATTAAAATATTCCTAATAAATCTCACAAGAAAGAGTCATTGGAGCATTATATCACAAGTGAATTTAATTCTGTCTGTAATAACCTTGGCTACGATTTTTTTTTAAAGCAGCTGGTAGAGAAGGAGGAACTCAAGTTTGTACACATGTTGTATGTTAGATTAACAAACTTTTCTGGAAATTAAAATAAAATGTGTAGTCGTTTGAATTACTGAAAGAAATATCTACTGGGGATCTAGGAAAAATGCTGTTAATACAAGTTATTATTTTTTTAAATGCATTTGGCATGCTATGTAGTAGGTACTCCACTGAGCTCCTTCCCTAAATGTTATCACCCGATTCTCACAATGGCCTGGCGAGGCAGGCGTCCTCATAATTACCCCCATTGTACAGATGAGGAGGCTGAGGCTCAGGGAAGCTCAGAGGTTTACTCAAAGAGTCATAGCTCCAAAGTGGCAAAGTTGCGTTAGCTCTTATTTTCAAGTGTAGGGTGTCAAACTCTACCCTGGGTTGACCATTTAATACAGAAGGACTTCAGGGTCAGGGGCCCCATCAATGTACGTGTTTCTGAGACACAGGTTTGGATGTCTTTAAAGACGGAGTGGTCAATAGGATTGTCAGTGTTTGGGTGAGACTGGTAGCTGGGGATTGATTTTCATCACTTGTTCGAGTACGTTGAGAAAAAGCACAGAATCGAGCAGACTCATCAGACAGGGCTAGTGGATCAGAGGCTTTAGTTGCAGAGATGGATTCATTTGCTTATGTGTGTAAATCCTCAGCCACGAAATGGCTATCTTTATAAACCCAAGCCTTGCATTCTCTCGTTGAGCAGTACACAGGTTTTGAACGATGATTCTCCGGGGATTGTTATTTATTATCAAACAAAATAATTGCATAGAAGATTAATTGAAGGGAGTCCAATGCCCTTTTGGGTCAAAGCTATGGGATAGTAGATGGCAGGAGCAGCTATTAAAAACAACCACAATGAAGGATTTCCCATTCTGCGATCTGATCCTCAGCTCAGCTTCATACACTTCTTTGCTGATGAGAATTTGGGCCTGTGCTATGATTTGGAAGGATTTCAACCCATTAGTCCACTCTGTGTGTGTTAAAATTTCAATTTGGTGTCTATCGTGTTAGTGAGTATGGCTTTTGCTCTTCAGTAAGGGCTTTCCAAAGGCCCTTTGTTCAATAAACCCTCAGCCTTTTACATTTTTGTCACTAGTCAATTAAGACAATTATATCCTATTAAAATACTCTGAAATTTTAAAATCATTGTTTTTTAGATATCTCCCACTTGCTCCTTTTCCCTATTACAAATGCAATCGTTTTTCATCATGGAAACCATAAACACACTGATAAGCAAAATGAAAAAGGGAATCTTCAATGCTATGCAGATATAGCTAGCTTTACTTTCAGCAAACAGCCTTTTCTACTTTTATCTATGAACACACATATGTGTAAAAAAATAAAACAAAAGGAGAAATGGGATCACGACATACACATTGTTTTGAAATTTGCTTTTTGCACTCACTATATCATAAAACATTTTCCCAGCAATAAATGTACAGCTAGAGCATCTTGGTTAACATCTGCAAAGCATCCTGTTCTGTGAATGATCTATCACTAATTTCCCATTCCACTACCATTGGGCTTTTAACTTACTCCGGCTTTCATTTTACCCAGGATTCTAATATAATAAATATCCTTGTAAAAAAACAAAACAAAACAAAACAAAAAAAAAAAACTTTGCCACTTCAGTATTTCCTTAGAATTAATTCTTAGAAGTGCAATTGCCGATACAAAGGCATATACATTTTAAAAGCATTTGAAATACATTTTCTTTTAAGATTTTGTCAACTTGCATTTCCCTGGTAGGGTATGAGATTCCCACCTTCCTCATACCAATTCAAATAGCCAGAATTCTTTTGAATTTATAGGCTAGAGAGAAAAAAAAAGAGTTTTTTTTGTTTTAATTTGCATTGCTTCAAACACTGTGAGCTGAATAATTTTTATGTTTTTTCCATTCTTAGTTTTTGTTTCTTCATGCCCTTTGCTTTTTGGGGGGAATAGGAGAGGATTTAGTTCTTATTGACAGATAACAATATTTTGGTCTTTAAGTCTTCATTATAAAAATTTGGCAACTATATCCTTCCAGTCTGTGTCTTCAACTTACACGTGGTGTTTCTTTTTCTCTATGAATGTTTATGTAGACACATCCATGTTTCTTACTTGCATGATTTGTGACTTTGATATTAAGCTTGTAAAGTCCAATCTAAAAGTAATATAATAAACCTAATCCAAATAATATCATCATTCAACTGTATTTTCTTCTAGCACTTTTATGATTTCACTTTTCTTAACATTATAATTTTTATCTGGAATGTATTTTTTTTTAAAGATACAAATCCAAACCACAATGAGATCCCACCTCACACCGGTGAGAATGGGGAAAATCAACAAGGCAGGAAACCACAAATGTCGGAGAGGATGTGGAGAAAGGGGAACCCTCCTGCACTGTTGGTGGGAACGTGAACTGGGGCCGCCACTCTGGAAAACTGTGTGGAGGTTCCTCAAAGAGTTAAAAATAGACCTGCCCTACGACCCAGCAATTGCACTGCTGGGGATTTACCCCAAGGATACAGATGCAGTGAAACGCCGGGACACCTGCACCCGATGTTTCTAGCAGCAATGTCCACAATAGCCAAACTGTGGAAGGAGCCTCGGTGTCCATCGAAAGATGAATGGATAAAGAAGATGTGGTCTCTGTATACAATGGAATATTCCTCAGCCATTAGAAAGGACAAATACCCACCATTTGCTTCAACGTGGATGGACCTGGAGGGTATGATGCTGAGTGAAATAAGTCAATCGGAAAAGGACAAACCTTATATGTCTCATTCATTTGGGGAATATAAAAAATAGTGAAATGGAATAAAGGGGAAAGAAGAAAAAATGAGTGGGAAATATCAGAAAGGGAGACAGAACATGAGAGACTCCTAACTCTGGGAAACGAACAAGGGATGGTAGAAAGGGAGGTGGGTGAGGGGTGGGGGTGACTGGGTGACGGGTACTGAAGGGGGCACTTGATGGGATGAGCACAGGGTGTTATTCTATATGTTGGCAAATTGAACACCAATAAAAAATAAATTAAAAAAACATATTTTATTTGTGTGAGAGAGAGAGCACGTGCACCAGTGGAGAGGAGGGGCAGAGGGAGAGGGAGAAGCAGGTCCCCTGCTGAGCAGGGACCACCCCGCCCCCCAGCTCGGCTGGATCCCAGGAACCCGAGATCATGACTTGAGTTGAAGGCAGCTGCTTTACCAACTCAGCCACCCAGTCGCCCCTGGAATTTATTTCATTTTAAAAATAACTTCTACTTAATGGGTCTCACTAATAGTTAAGAGTTTGAAGGAGAGATTTTTAAAAGACTAAGTAAATGTTAATAAGGCAACAAAAATAGAAGATTTAAAAAGGTCCAATTGACAGAGCAAATCAATCGAGGTTAGATCATATTTTTATCGCATCATTAAGGCAAACAGATATATGTATGGACTTCATTATTTATGTATATAGGCCTCATTCCACAAGGGGTTAGAAGGGGGTGGATTTTTCTGCCTGTCTTTGATTCTTTCTGCTCTCGGTCTTTCTGAAGCTCTACACCTCTCAGCCTTTCTTCCTACCTCCAGGTCTGTATCTCTCTCTTTCATCTCTCTCTCTCTCTCTCTCTCTCTCTCAGCACTGCTGGCTGTTCCAGGTTAGTTGTGTGGCTTCCCTCAAGTCACTTCATCTCCCTCAGCATCATGTTTTCCCACCCATATAAAGAGGATTTGAACTAGATTTTGTCTCCAGTTTCTTCCAGCTCTAAATTAGTCTGGTTCATGACGTACAACCTCTCTCCCTGTACGTATGTGTCTCCATCTCTCTATTTCAGTAAATTACTTTCAATTTCTCCAAATTTACTTCTCACACTGTTGCCTGACCTTCCACTCAGCTCCCGCCCTCCTTTTGTTAATTGACCATAGAATATGACTGTGGTCTAATTTTTATTTGTTGCATTCATTAAATAAAGTTTTGCACTTTTTTCTTAATTGATAAAGCAGGTAAATGGAATTTCATGTCTCTCTCTGTAAAAGAAAACTAAAGAAATTATGCCCTTTTCTTACTTAGATGGCCTCTGATTTATTAAATGGGTCAGTGAGCTGGAAAGTACTTTTACTGATTTCGTCGATATGAAGAAAGATCTTTTGTTCTGAAAATG